CAATCATAAAGCGCAATTTAAATGATCGTCCGAATTTCGGTGAACGTACCAAGTTTTCGGTTTCTGCCTATGGCTATACAATCTTGTATACAACTATGTTGGTCCGCCTAGAGGCTTATTGCCACCCAACCTATATGACGTTATAGTTGGTTACTGGGTACGAACCTGACGATTTTTGTATTTACGCCTTTGGGTTTGCATTCTATGTGCCAGCTTACGCCGCCGCAACATACCAATATGGGTCCTCAAAGAAGGATGTGTATCTTTTGTCGATCATGATTTCACACTAGCTCTTTTCAAGCCTTTGCACGCGATCTCTTTACCGCTCATTTGTTGGTTGTCACTTTAATGAGATAGTCTTCCCATCGTTAAGGGGAGATAAGAACGTCAACGTTCTTGGATAACAGCGCGAATTTACATGGACGTTGCCCATTATGTTTCATCTCGATCCCCGTACCACACATGTATGATAAGTAAGTGCGATGAATTCTAGATTTCAGAATGTTGCTCCAAACGCATTCCTCTGATCTAGTTAAAGTGACAAGATCATATACCAACTGCAAACATGTCTACAAGGATAGACGTACTCAACGGATGTCGAGTCAACATCCCTGGAGGGTGTGCCACCCCTGTTGGACTGTTAGGTACACCGGCGAATAGTCAATCAATCTGTTTTGGCCTGGAGCACGACAAATCATTCAGTTCGTTGGATTCACTTCCCTGGAAGAGGAAGACACGGCACAATAATGAATCTACACTCGATCGTTGTCTCAAATCATTTCCATCTTATGAGATTAATCCGGATTACACCTGAGACTTGAAGTTCTTAGTCCAGTATACAAGTTTAGATGAGCTAAATGGAATTGAAATGAGATTACCATCGATGATGTTTTCACTTATATGGTAGTTACCGACATAAATGAAAAGTGACGATATCGAACCGTGTTCTATTGATTAAGTGACAATGTAGAACTGATTGGACAACTGAAATTACAATCCATGTCAACTTCCTTACCAAAGTGTGTTTAGACCCATAGTTCCCACATTGCCCAAGGTAAACCTGTTGTGTTACAAGTGGGAAAGGAAACGTTATGAGATGAATGATATAGTGCATTATGATGCACACCTTACGACACAAGGTTTTTCTCAAATGTCCTGTGATTGATAGCAGCATTATGAAATGTGGTTAGTGTTTTCTCATTGGGGATATAGATACGGAGATTTACATGTAAGTTCTCAAAGAATTACGTGGACTGGTTCAAATAGTTCCAAAACCATGGAACACCCTCTTAACTTGTTTGAGGTGTTCACTTACAATCTGACGGATGTGGTATACCCGTCAAAGTGATTATTTGATCAGTCAGAGATATGAATTATGCCCTTGTGTGTTAAACTATGAAGTCTTATTTCCGAATTGCTAGAGTTACAGTTTATATCGTTAACACAAATCTCACTAAGACTTTAAAAGAGCTTGAGAAAACTGCATCGCACCTGAAGATGGAATTTGAGATGAAGGATCTTGGGAAAACTCATTTATGCCTTAACCTAAAGTTAAAGCATTGTTCTGATGGTATTTTGGTCTACCAATTGAACTACACCCCGAAGGTGTTACCTTTGAGTATACCTATGATCGTCCATACATTATATGCAAATGAGACCCTTCAAGAGGTTATGGAATCCGAAATTCCATATCTGAGTTCAACTTTGCACTTCGTTGTACTTAGCTCATTGTATTTAGATAGGACATCTCCTTCGCTATTAATCTTAGTAAAGGTGCAGCACCGCGCCTACACACAACCATTAAATTGGTATTAAAGACGTACCCTGAAGGTATTATGAATTTGGGCAAATCAAATCCCGACGCATCTCGAGCAGATCTGACCCCCTGATCCTCGAAATGATGTTTGCCTTGTTTGTTATGCTGACGCAAGTTACTTATCAAACCCGCATAAGGCAAAATCCCCGAATAGTTATATCTTTACCGTTAAAGGATATCACAATATCTTGGAGGTGCACGATATGACCTTAGTTGCGAAATCTTCGAACCGTTCCAAGACTCACCTCACTTCATTATGCCACAAGTGAAACATGGTTTGAAGTTCTCGTTGAGCATATTTCGAAGTACTTGTTGTGTTTTCATCCATTGTTGAGTCCCAACGACGATCCATGAAGATTATGCCGCATGTATCAACTCAACTAAACCATGATACATCAACGAAGTCAACGCCAAGACATATTACATCTACATCTACATCAGCAAAGCATCAGGAGATTGAAGTCATGCAAACCGATCCTAGACAACCTTGCCGACCTCTACATGACGTTACTGCCAAAGTCAACCTTCTTGAAGCTTTTCCAAGGAATTGGTATGCCTAACTATTCATATGCAAAACTTATAGTTCTCATTTGGAAGTTATGTCAAACTCAGGGGGAGTATCCAGAAGTATACTCACTTGATCTTAATGTACACTTTTTCCCTACGATTAGGAGCATTTTTCCCACTGGGTTTTAGCTACCTAACTAGGTTTTAACGAGGCACCCATCCTAGGCTGATCACACCCTTGTGAGCTTACCTACTTGCGTCCAAAAGATGTATAATTTTGACTTAATGCAACTTCTCACCTTTCTTCTTAGTTTATTGGTTGTTCTCCCACCTTGGGTTTTACCATAGCGAGGTTTTGTGAGTTTTACCTTTTTATGCATTCTTACTTTGATTTGAGACTCGCATTCGCTCATTGTGTCCACGACTTCATCAACTGTACTTGCTTCATCACTGAAGACTTGATGCGCCATTTACTTGAGTATTTACACACCTAAGGGGGGGAGTGTTGCAATCCTATTAGATTAGGAATGTGATTGTGTAAATCCTAGTGTATCTTTGAATATCTCTTATATTCATATTAGGAGTTGATTACCTATTAAGAGTTGTAATCCTAAAAGGGTAATGGATTAACCTTCCCTACTACTATAAATAAAGACACAACGGGGTGGAATAGAACACACCCACAATTACACATCTCTATCTTCTCTCTACTATTGTTGCACCTTTCTCTCTCTATGGCCTCCATAATTGTTCAGTAAATTATGCGTACAACATCTTCCTCTTTTAACCCCATATTTGATATTTGGGTGGAGTTTTTATCTTGTGCGTCATTTCCTGTTAATTTTAGACCACTTACTTTTCTTTACCTTTCTTCGTAGAATTTCACCCCATTCCTATCTTACATCAGATTCCTCCACTTGTAAGGAACTCGACCTCGAGTTCTCCTTAAAACGATCTTGGTAGCTAGTAGACAAGTCCCTTGTTAAGCAAATAAATTCTTCAACTCGAGAAGCCGAACTTTCAGTGCACTTAGGTGGGATAATCATGAAGTTAATTTCATAAACAAGATTAAAATATACCAAATGATTATCAAAATATTTTTCCTTCCCCAAATTTTTTTGGCCAACAATAGAATTTAACTCCAATTTATTAGATTGTTGATTCTCTAAAGGCATAACAAATTCAGAATCACCCATTTCTTGAGTCTCCATGTAACAACTTGTCCCTAATTTTACGATTTTTATAATTATAATGGGAATTGACGAAAATGCCCCTTGAGGTGAGATTGTTGACTTTCGTTGATCGTTATTTTGTGGTGCGTATGAGCTATTATCTGATCGTATTTTCGGAGTACGTGACACACCTCGACCTAAATCAGGGCATGTTGGCCGTCACGTAAGAGTGACGTAACCATATGCACAGTGCGGAAGTAAAATTGATATAGAGACATACGAGTGAATAAAAAATAAAAAAAACAAACTACTAGCAGTACTAGCTAAGCTAAAGTGCTAGTGCGAGATTAAGTGTGATATACACAACCAGAGCATAAATAACCTAAGTGCAGTCAAGCAGGACAAGTACTAATTATACAACACCCAAGGGTGATCCTACATTTATGATGTTCTGTCAGAACCACCGTTGAAATCCCGGTGAGCCACCAAAGTACTTCTACCTAAAACCTGGAGGGGCGCAAAAACAGAAAGTGTGAGTGGGCAAAAACAAAGCTTTTCAAAATCATTTCATTTCTCAAATGTTCTAACCCCTTACCGTAAAACCTGTATAATTTCTCAGAAAATATAATATATGCTATATCAAAATTCATGCTCAGGATGAAAGTCCATAGAAATATACCATGCCAAAGTATCTCAATGAAATGCTATAAATAATCCAGTTAAAATATATCAATGCCAAACATCATATCAGCTAAATCCACCTAACGTGACCTGCATGGCTGAATCTATATCTCATAACCAATCTCAATCATATCAAATTCTGCACACAAGTCGGAACCACCTAAAGTGGTTTGTACAATAGGACTAGGTGTAAAATAAATATGCTCTAGTGCTACGATCATATGAAGATTGTGCGAATGATCGCAGGTCACCTATGAGTTGGAACCACCTAAAGTGGTCTGTACGATAAGCTTGTGCACCTAACTTGGATCCAAGGTGAGGATATGGTGCGGGAGGTAAACATTACGTGAAGGTCTGTGCCCTAACTCCGGGCGGAAGCACTAACACCGGGGTGCAGGTTTATGAGCTCTCAATACATCATATCGTATCTTGCATAACTGAAACAATCTCATATATTTAATTTATTAACTTACCTGACACTTACCTGTGTGTCTACAGCACCAATAATAAATATATGCAACTAATAATGCATAAATAAAATAGGCAAATACTTTGCATGGCATTTCAAAACGTATAATCATTCAAATTCATTTTCCGGGAAAAATCTCAAGTATATAGGCATATACGGAAAACCAAAAGCCCACTCACTGATTATATGTTGAAGGGTCGTAGCCCCTGAGCCTCGATTGATGACGCTCGTCCTCAGGATATGTCTCACCTATATGTGAAATAACTGAATAAAAGTTATTTAAAGCACATACACAAAACTAGGAAATAACTTCTCATACAATGCTCAAATGGGGTGTTTGAATATACCACCATGACCTACTCAACGTCAGGAGCATCCCCATAATTTTAGAAAAAAATTTCATGACTCCACATGCCCTCACGCGCGGGCCAAAGCACGACCATATACACCCCCATGCGCAGGCACGTGCTTGGCACACCTAACGGAAACCTCAATGTTGTTAGGGAATATTCTGTTAAAAAGTAGCATATGCCGTTACAGTTACCTAATGGCGTCAGAATATTTTGTCAACTTTGACGGAATATTCTCCTCCTTCTTCCTTGGTTCGCTAGAGTCCGGTGCCGGTGCCGCTGCGATCGCCGGTTTCTGGAAAATCTTTAAAGCTTTATATCTCACTCATTTTTGCACCAAAATCTATGAAATTTGAACCAAAATGAAGCTTAAGGCTAGAGGAACAAAACCTTACCACTTTTAGGCCTTGAAATTCACGGGATCTTGCCTGAGAGACCTCGACAATCCGGCCAAAATTTCAAACTTGTCAAACTACGCTTCCCGAAATCACTCCAACTTTCTTCCTCGAGCTTCGTGAGGGTGTGTTAAGGCTCCCTCTAACCTTAAAACTCCTTGAAAACTTCACGATTACGTTTGCATGAACAATACCTTAACTCGGGAATTCTGGTTCTCGGGTTTTTGAAGGTTTCACGTCCTAAAAATGGTATGGTTGAATTCTTGGGCTCGTAAAGAACACAGTCATTACTTTCACCACCTTGATTCGTGCACAAAATGGTTGATTCACCAATTGACCGTACAATTGTATGGAAGAGGAAGAAAAACCGAGAGGGAAGAGAGAGAAAGATAGTCAACGGGAGAGGGAGTATGTGTGTGGTCTTGATTTTCTTACAACCACCCAAAACAATTAGAACCTTTAGTTCTAATTGGGTCCAAAAATTTAGAAACTTAACATATTGGACCACCTCTAAAAGCATGTCACACACAACACACCTCAACGTCCAAGGGAAAAATAGACATTTCACACTGACGATAAAATAATTCGGGACGGGCTGTGACACGTGACAATATGAATAGCTAGGTGAAAATATAATACTATAACCAAACTCAAACTTTCATTCTCGTTCCGTACAATACTATAATATAATATCTTTATAAAAAAATGGAGTCAAATATATATATATAATAACATCACGCCAAATATACATATATAATAACATAAATTTAAAATAATTGTACTGAAATTAAAATTAAACATAAAAGAATTTTCACCTACGTATTTGAAACATCACGTACTCTGAGAATACGATAAAATAATAGCTTATACGCATCACAAAATGACAGTTAACGGAAGTCAACAATCTCGCTTCAAGGGGCATTTTCGTCAATTTACACCATTAAAATTATAAAAACTGTAAAATTAGGGATGAGTTGTTACACTCCACGTGTGGGAAATCATTCTCAACAAGCAAAATTTCTTGTTATTTTTCTTCTCCCCTAACATCCACCATTTCTTGGCAAAATTAAATTTTAGTCTCCATCAGCGTAGCTTCTTTTCTAATGATTGATTGGCCCGTCCTTGCCAAATACAATTTGTAGAAATCAGGAAAGAATTTCTTAACAATTAGTCACTTCCACCAACGTCAAGTTTGGATAAGATTTTTCCCTTGTTGTCACCTAGATTCTGCATTTGATCCCACCATAAACGCACATCACCATCTAAATAAGAAGTAGGCATCTTCACCATCTTCCTTTCCATAATTGGTCGTGTCTTGAAAAGTTTTTCTACATTCTCAACCCACAAGAGAAACCTTCAATATAATCACTTCCAGGGAAAATAGAAATATCTTCAACATCAACTAGAAATATCTTTAACCTTGAATAGATAATCGAAGGGTGTTTGACATGAAGGACAATTAGTATTATGGTTTGCATTTCTCTCCACTTGTAAATAAGAGGTCTCGTATTCGACTCCCATGAATGGTGAGTCAAAATTTTCATCTTTAAATATTGTTGTAACTGAGAGATCTCAGATTCAACCCTAGCCGCCCCTCTTCTTTCTTTCTTGCCCAAAATCAAAGAATCTCACTTGTCCCATATCTGTAGACCCCTTCCTTTGGTTTCTTATTCTCCAAGCTACAATGTAGTAGTGCTTTATTTAGGTTTTCTAGTAAACATAAGTCAGATGGTTCCATCGACAGGTTCAAAGCATTGCTAGTTTCAAGATAGTTTCGCTAACAAGAAGAAATTGATTTCCATGACACTTTCAATCCACTAACTAAGACAGTCAGCAAAAGACTTGTTATCTCATTGTTTGGTTGCCCGGTTCCAACTGATTTCAATTTCTAAGGGAGAAATGAAATTATGGACAACAAACGGACCAAGTTCTAAATCTACCCTCCTTAGGTCATGAAGAACAAACAGACCAAATCTTAAATCCTTACATTTGTATGTGAAGTTGTGTTATGTGTCATTTCCATACCAAATAAACTCCTTTATAACATGTATATACTATTTAGAGAGTGTGTACACTAAATGTTTTTATGTCTAACAATCATACAAGAGCATAACGTTATTTAAGTGGTGGAAAGGTTAATAGTTTAAAGATCTAAAATGTTATATGACTAATAAGAAGAAAAAAAGATACAAGTATTTAAACTACAGATTAATAGAATCCTATTTATCAATCACAAAGAGTGAAAAGGCTATTTAGTATTCTATCACAATAAAAAAGTTAAGCATAGTAATGTAATTTCACAAAACAAAATTTTGCTTTTTTTTTTTTTGGTTTAAGCATCACTTACATGGATTTTAATATCTCTAATTTAAAAAAAAAAATTAAACATCTCTCTCCACTCACACGTTCTATCTCACTCTCTTCTTCTCTTATTCAATTTTAAAAACAAAAATAAAAAATTTCATACTCTTGATACGTGGATATATACTTATAAATGTATAACTAGCTTAATAACCCAACATAACGATGCGATTATGTTTTAGATAAGATATTGGACAAGGATTGTCTGCCCTCCCTTTTTCCATGCCCTCCTGTTTGTGTGATCACGGTTAAGTTACGTCAACATTTTATATTACTATTCATTTTTGTCTTATTATCTTTATAAAAAAATAATATAAAATGTTGACGTGGCTTAACCGTGACTACACAAAATAGGAGGGCATGGAAGGACCCTGTTTGTGTGATCACGGTTAAGCCACGTCAATATTTTATATTACTATTCATTTTTATCTTATTATCTTTATAAAAAAATAATATAAAATGTTGACGTGGCTTAACCGTGACCACACAAAATAAGAGGGCATGGAAGGACATGCCATCCTGTTTGTATGATCACGGTTAAGCCACGTCAACATTTTATATTACTATTCATTTTTGTCTTATTATCTTTATAAAAAAAATAATACAAAATGTTGACGTGGCTTAACGTGACCACACAAAATAGGAGGGCATGGAAGGATCCTGTTTGTGTGATCACGGTTAAGCCAGGTCAACATTTTATATTACTATTTACTTTTGTCTTATTATCTTTAAAAAAAAAAATATAAAATATTGACATAACTTAATCGTGACCACACAAAATAGAAAAGTATGGAACGACACGAAAAAAAAAGGAGGCAGACAATCCTTGTCCTAAGATATTTTGTTATAGTACAACACAGGTTTCGTTCCCATGACAGGAAAATATTAAAAGGAAGAAAGGAAGAAGACAAGAGGAAGTTTCACGAGAGAGAAAGAGGTTTCCTAAGTCCTAATTTTAGTGACAGAAACTTGGCTGTTGCTCTGCTGCTGCTACTTCCATCACTGCCTTTCAGTTTCTCAGGCAACATCAACAACAACAAAGCCGATTCTCGAGAGAGAGACCGATCCTTTTTCAGAGACAGAATGAGCAGCGACAAGGCTCCGAATCCAATCGCTGCATCTGCTGCAGTATCCCCCACAAATGCATCCAGTAATACTACCACTGGCGGTGGTGGCCCTGCTGCCGTTGCTAATGCTAACGTAAGCCTTCATCCCGGCGTTGAATCCTGTAAGGGCATCAATGGCCTTGACAAACTCGTCCTCCATGATCCACGAGGCAGTTCTGCTGAGGTATTCCCCTCGGAAACGACGTCCTTCTCCCTTATATCCCTCTTTTCCTTCGTTTTGGCTTTGCTTTTTCTTTTTTGTTTGATCGAGATCTGATGCTTGCTTGATTTCATTTTCTGTTTTAGAATTAGAAATGGAATTATTCGATTTTGTTTCAATATCTTGTTTGTTAATTTGGACTTAGATCCCGTTTGGTGAATCTAGGGTTTATTGATTTGCTGCGTTCTGATTTGTTCGATCTGTTTGGGTGGAGTTCTTGAGTAACGAGGTGATGAGGAAATCACGAGTGATTGATTTTTTATTTATTTGTTTATCAGGCTAATTTTAATCTTGAACTAATTGTTTTAAGGGAAAACAATGTGTTTTTCCCCGGTTTCGGAGTGAGAACTTAAAGAGCAGGAATCTGTTTATTAGTTACTACCATGAAATTTCCTTGTACAAACCTAAGCCTGCCTCATCTTTTACCCTTTGGAGGATTGAGAAGTGTCTTCGATTGATAAGAGTAGAAACCGGTTAAGTGTATTGGTAATTTCCCATTTTTGTACAAATTTGGAGGATCGAGAAGTGACTGCGGTTTTATTAATTTTACTGTTTTTTCGTATTAGAAACTAGTTGTTGCGGTCAAATCTGGACAAAAATTCATATCATGGAAGGACTAAACTCATAATTTCCTTTTGGAGTGTAATTCAAGTCTGATTGGTGAGGAACAGTAGGTCCACCAATAGCAATAGGATCTTTCCAAGGGTTTTGAAGTTCATGGAGTATTAACTAATCTGCTATGACACTTCTTTTTTTCTCTTGCTAAATAGATATTTATAAGTAGATGCACAAAGTTCAGTCATTTCAATTGGAAGGAAATTAAGACGAGTATCTAATATGAGAAAGCTAGTGGTGTTATGTTGTGTACATTACCAGATTTATTATCAAATCGAATATTTTTTTTACCTTAAAAACACTCAAATAATTTTGATTTTGCCTGTTCACAGGACATGTATCCAATGTGATTTCGTACTTAGTGTTTGTTAATTAATCTGATAAGTGCGATAGTCTATTAATGTTTCTGACATTAGCCTACTGTCTTTTGCCTATGTAGAATGCCAATTTGGTTCACTTCTCTCCCTTGATGACACTTGAATTGGGATACAATTACTTGAGTGCATGCTAATGCTTTATTTTTCATTTACCGCTTGATGATGATTTTCTTGATGCTAGTCTTGCTCTTTCTAGATTTAAACACTAATATATTAATTGGTATTGCACCCTGAGTTATTATTGGTCTGCATAGTTTCACTTTCTATGTTTGTTTCGTTTTAGAATGTAATTTCAGGCTGCTGAAGCATATTTCCAAGGCTGATTACAGTGGCCTTTCAACTTCTGTTGCCTTATAGTTATTTGTTTTTGGGCTTTTTAGGTGTATTTGTATGGGGCTCATGTAACTTCATGGAAGAATGATCATGGAGAGGAATTGCTATTTGTTAGCAGTAAGGTGCTATGCAGCAATTTATGTTAATTCTTTTTATCTATTATTTTTTTTAGGTGTAAATTCTCTTGATTTTTCCAACGGACATCACTGAAGGAATTTCCATTTCATTTTTTGTTTCTTTACAATGTTGTGTATTATCTTTAATGGGG